TTCTTCATTTCATTATATTTATACATTTATATTTGGTTAATGTACATAAATATTTTTTCTTACTATTACGTAATCTTCATTCATTATATAAAAATGACTGTAACAAAAGAGAATTGAATTTTTTTCCACAGATATAATAATTTAAATCTCAAAACACATGATTTAATATTACAATTTCTTTAATCTTAATTTTGATTCAAGCATAATTAGGTTTACTCAATAATTCATAACATATTTGTGAAATTTTGTAATAGACATGTATATGTTTAGCAAAAATAATTTTTTTGAAAATTATGTTCTTTTCTTGTAATATTCAAGTGAAATATTACTCTAGATATGAGATTTTTTATATTATTTATTAGTTCTACTTTTCTTCATATTATATTTTGACATTTATTTGCACTATAGATATTTGACTTTTCTATGTTTTTACATAGATGTAATAATTAGCTCATTTTTTTGTTATTTTTGAACAATTTTCACATTTTACTATAGATAACATTTTGCATTTTATATTATAAAGATGTTTCTTTTAAAGGAAAAAATATCAGGCCCATTTACTTATTATTCTTTTTAATTCAATTATTAACATATGTTGTACATGATATACAGTGTAAGAATATATTCAAAAATAATTAAAATTCATTTACACAGATCTTCAAAATAATTTAATTAAGAAATAGTTTTTATAATACTTATAAAAAATGTATTTAATAGTAAACACATTCATGATTTAATTCCTCCTTATTATCCACTGAAAAACAAATGTAACATATTACACAAATATTTAGAATAACAATATGAATGCAAATTTACATCATACACTTTTACTTTTTATGACATAACATTAGACAAACACATTATGCCAGTATTTAATGTCTCAATAAATATATCTTTAAATCTATGCTACATATTTTTGAAATAATAAGTGTAACATAATAAAAATAATTTATTACCTAACAAATTAAAACTTTATTGTATAATTATTTTATATATTACCTAGTAATTCTTAACATATGTACATTCATTATAAATTCATAAGTATTCAGAGATTACGTTATAAAAAAAAAATGAAATAACAAATAGGGACACTTCATTTCAGCAAGTATATATTTTACCTTAAATATATTTCTATCTCTTTTTTCTGTTAATTAGATTTACCTATAAATTGTTGCATATACTAAATTGAATATAATTCATCCTATAAGGGTTATGTTTTTTAAAGCTATTTTGAAAAGTTTCTCTTACAGTGTGATAACTCATACTAATATAACTCCGATTGCAATTCTCAAGAATTTAATCTAGGTAGGCATATAATAGAGGTTAATATTTTTTTAAATTAAAATTTATCACTCTGCAAAATTAAAAATGAGATCCTTGGCATAATCATATTTGTAAATATATAAATATTCATAACAAAATTTAATGCTACTAAAACCTGATACCTAATCCATAAAGCATAAAATCAGAACCATTTGCATTATCATTTATATGAGGATATTATAAATAAACATGAGCAATTTAAAACCATAAACCTAGCAAATGAATAATCGTATATGTTATATTTTTAAAAAGGCATATATTTTTTTATATATTGCACTCATCAAAATGGAATATATATCAAAGGTATATTTTATAGAATATTAAACATGTTATATAAGAGACACGACGTAATATAGTACATATATTGTAGAGTATTATACTTTGATGAAATAATGGATTTGATACATTAAAAAATGAATATATAACAAGGTCACTGTTTTAACTTTATATAACGAATAAATATTCTATAATAATTTAATAGTTAATATGATTTATTTATTCAAGCATATTATAATCGAAATAATGAAAAATGTATTGTAAGTGCCCTTACGATTGTCATTATATATTTTTGAATTATATAAGTATATAATTTATACTCAATATTAAATTAAACAATATCTATAATTATTAAAAAATGCATAATAATAATATACATTAAAATACATATATAAAAATAAATATTTTTATCATTATAATTATTTCTTGTTATTGAAATTATGAAATAAATATCTACTTTAATTTTACACCCTGAAATTTAAACGACTCATGTGTATTATTCAGAATGTATAGTTTTAATTGATATAATATTCTTAATAGAAAAATTATATGATCATAAATAATTAAAAAAAATATATTATATAACCGTCTAAAAGAATAAAAATAAAATTTCAAATAATACTCTAAAATTCATTATATAAATAACAGCAGTTATTTTTTAATTATAATTTTTTATTTGAAGAAAAAAAAAAATATAAGAATATATAAATATAGCAACACTAAAGCATATTACGTAAATCATAATTAATGCTTTTATATTACATTTATATACATGGAAATGAACTTATAAAAAATTTATAATAAAAAATAATTTATCATGCATAATGTTATGGGCACATATATTCATGTTAAATATATAAATAAAAAATATATATGTTTTATTAAATTAAATTATATTTCAAAATAAGCTCATATAAAGTAATAAAAGATGTTATATCTTAATAATATATTATATTCTATAATTAAATATATTCCATTGAGATATTATAATTTCTTATATATGTGTCAATAATTTCATTATAAAACTATACATAAATTACTAATTCCTAAATCTTGAACATTAAATACTTATCACTAATAAGTAGAAATATAAAATATTTAAATATTAGGGAAGTATAGCAAAATAAAATATTAATACATTTTATAATTTCTTAATTAAAATATTATATTTATGAATATATATTTATTAATAGTTTTTTTTGTGATATTATATTTTTAAGGATTAACATATTTTTTTCTACAGTAAATATGAATTAGACATAAAAAAACATAATGATATATTTATTTAAATTTGATTTAAAATGAGAATAATCATGGATTCTATCTAATGGAATATTTTATCCTTTGCATTATATATATTTTTATTTAAAATAGAGCATGGTTTGTTTCATTTTTCAATCAATAAATATAATGCCTTATAATAAATTTAACATTGTACATTTTTATTTTTATAAATAATACTTATAACCTATTAATAGTTATAAATATACATTTTTTTTCAATATTATATTATACATATTATTGAAACTTATATTAATATCGGGATTCATACATTATGACCTTCCTTTTCATTTGATAGTATATGCTTGTAGGTTTATTTGATAAATATAAGAAAATATTTGAAGAATATAATGAAAAAACTTATTTTAATCCTCAAACATTATGTAAAGCTTTCGAAGATGATTACGGTAATAATGAAAATTTTCTTCACATCTGCCAAAGAGGATCATATTTTTTAGGTAAACTGGAAAAAGATAAATTGAGTCAAAATATATATGTAGGTTGTATATACTTATATTTTTGGTTATATGATTACAAACATACGAATAATTATAATGTGGATATGAAAAATCTTTATGATATCGTGCTTACTGTATCTAATAGTATTACCGTAGAAAACATATGCCAGCATTATAAGAATTATCTTAACGACAATATATATCAAAAGCTTAAAGATATTTATGATTTGAATATTAAGCTTATGAAATTCTTAAATGAAAATTATGAACATTCTAATGTTAATAAATGTAAATTTGCTAAGGAGTTCGCTCAATTGTACATGAGATACGAGAATATATGTTCACAAAATAATTACCCTGATTTCTGTAATGCATTAAAAAATGCTAAAATGCAATACAGTGATGAAATGAATAAGATAACATGTGATAATTTTGAATATAAATTTTTACCCACCTTTCAAATACATAATAAATCATTTCCTAAATTGACTACAATTATTGGATTTTTTATAATGCCTTTCTTTTTATTTATTTTATATAAGGTTAAAAATGATATTATGTATATATTTAAAATATAAAATATATTTCTTAAATAATAAACTAAAGAGTGCGTATTTTATAGTAGCATTATATTTATAATTCATAATATTTTTTTTAATTGTTTAGTTCACCCCATTTGGTTCACTCCTGCGCTGTGAGATTCTAAAGAAAAGGAATGAGTGGAATAATAAAAATAAGGAATGGAATATTAAGCAATCATTTGAAATATCCAACAGTGTTTCAAGGGATGGAATATATAATGTATTATATAATTCATCTTAAACATGCTGTTAAATACATAATTAGAAGTATATCCACTATTTGAATTTCACAGACAGATATAAAAAAAATTAATTTGATATTATTTCTCATTATAATTTCGCATATAAATGAAGCATAAAATATAATATAAAAAAAATTACACAATTATTTTTGCATACAACAAGAGAGTGCTTCAATAAGAAGAATAAAAAATGTTAAATATATAATTTAGCTTATGAAGAATGCATAAATATAAAACACATATGTTTCATAAAGTTATCTAATTAATATACTATAGATTTATATGACATATTTTTTTTTTTGTTATTAAACAACATTTCATAAATATAATAATTTAATGCACTTAAAACAAAATTTTTACATATATATCATGTTATTCTATTATGTAATATTATAAAAAATTTATGTTAAATTATCAAATAAAAATTATAAAAATTGATTATTAGATAAAATGAATTTTATAATAGTTGTATGAATTTCATTTATGGAGTATTCATGTTCTCCAAAATTTACAATAATGATGTGTGAAATTTTAAAAGTTGTTAGTTGTTTAGGTAAATTGTAGAACATGAAAACTAATATATCATTTATTGATAAATATTTATATATATCATTTAATATGATTTCTTGCATTATAATATATATTTTTCTTTTGTTATATAAATATTATAGAAAATCTTTACAATATACATAATAATGATTAGGCTAATTTCCTGTACACATTCAATGAAATACAATAAAAATTATTTTCTTATAAATCACAATGATGTGAATTTTTTTATATTTTATATACCATATAATTGAATTATATTATATATACTGATTACTTAATATTTATATATATATTTAATATGACACAACGATGTATATATATGCAATAGTATAGAAAGACATTACAAATATTTACTGCAGTATTAAAAGATAAAATAAAAACCATACATAATATCCATTAATACTGGTAAATCAGCAGGAACAGAATTTATCTATTAATAACATAACTATAAAAATAATGATAATATAAAAATAATAACACCTTTTTAATGCAATATATATAGGGACAAAAAAAATTATTCTCCGTTCAGAGTTATATGAAACAAAATTATTTATAAAATATACAAATATAATTTCATATAGTAGTTATGTTTCTTAATTTAAATTATACAATAAATTAAATGTTTATTTATATAGTTTGTTATTTACATTTATCATTAATCATTATTCATAATTTTTATTTTTATGCACGAAATTCCTTATCCAATGCATTCATGATAAAAGCAGCTTTATATATGACTAAATCGAAAAATAATTTAAAAATTAATAGGTATAAAAAAAAAAAATTCCAAAAAAATTATGTATAAATATTCAATAAAACCTTTTCTATATATTTTAATATTATTCTAAAAGTATATAGTAATGATATAAATTATTGTTAAAATAATGATGTATGTAATTATGTAGTAACAATGTTCACATACAATAAGGATATGGTTATCATTATCTTATAAAATATAAAAATATGTAAAAATGGAAAAAACAAGTGTTATGAATATATATAAATTTACTTTTATGTCATATAATATATAGGGATATAGAAGCACATAAATTAAAACATAGCCTATGAGTTCATATCTATAAATAAAGCATCTTTTTATTTAAGATATATTGTTTATTTAAAAGAATATATGATATATTTGTTCAAAAATATATGTATATTTATACGAATAACTGTTTAATCATGTTAATTCATATATAAAATATATTATCTATATTGTATAAAAAAATTTCAGCTTGTTTATATTAATTTATATCAACATACTTGCAAGTATCCTTTGTCATATATATAATTTCCTAAAAGAGCAACAATATATATTGTAATAAATATAATTTTTATTCATCAAATCATAAATAATATATTAAATTACAAGCTACATTTTTTTTTTTATCAAGCACAAATAAAAATTTCACTGATGATAATAAGTTATAGTTAATCCAATGAATTACAGGATTTATAAGTACGATTCATAAAAAATATAGTAAAACGTATAATAAAAATATTATTCTTTAAGTATACAACCTTTATAAAGCTAAAATGTATTTTAATATTCTGTTGCTTCTTGTTATGTATATAATTTATATTAAATAACTTTAACAAAGTTATTAGGTAATGATTATGTATTATTTTACATAATATTACATGTTAATATAAAATATAATACATTATATGATAATTAGAGTTCTACACATATTTAATATTATTTATACATTTATGTAATATATTTGTCTTATATACTACATTTTTGCTTTATAGTACTATTTGAATACAATTCTAATTTAAATATTTATACGAAATAAATAGATAGTTTTTTGAAATTTAATAGTTAAAATATTTTTAATTAGTTTAAAATGAAATAAATGTATAATTTATTATATTATAAAATTAATACATTACTACTGTTGTTTTATTACATATTAAATATTGATATATCCTGGTATATGAAAATATAGAGCTTAATTAACCTATAGTAGTTAACAAAGAATAATATAAATTGAATAAGGATATTCTTTATATTAAATTTACATCTAAATAGAATTGTAACTGTATTTATTTAATAGAAATTATATAATTCTATTGAATAAAATTATACATAATATATATATTATTTATAATTAATTAATTGTGAGAAAATATTAAAATCTGTGAAAAAAGGAATCTATTAATATATTTACAGTATTAGAACATTGTTATTAATTATGTGTTAATATATGATAAATGCAATACATATAAATATATATATTATAAGGAATCATCTTAGATTTATTATAAAAAAAATTAATTATAAAATATAGAATCTTAAACAGTGATTCCAGAAGATTATTTTTTAAGTAGCATACATTGTGAAAGCAAATAATATACGTAAGTAGTAAATATGATTGATTAATTTCATACATATATATGTATAAAGAATAAAATAAATTCTACATGAATAAGCTTTTATTATGCATCTGTACTAAAGGTAATATAACTATATACAAAAAAATAAAATTATAAAATTACTATATATTTGATTCACAGTTATATTATAGATTTACACATTTATTCAATAAAACAAAAGAAAAAAAAAGACTGCATCTAATGTACAAAATATAATTGTGCACAATGCAAAATAAATTAAATCCATTTGATATATATTCTTCTTCATATACTAAATAATAGAATAAAATTATATATGAAATTATTTTTGAATTTAGAAAATTTTTCCATAAACAATATGTCGCCAGAATTTTTAATTCCAAACCCTTAGACATAAATACAAATAATGAATCAGAATTAATTGAAATATTAACTTTTTAATTAGACATATTAAAATCTTTTATTAATTTATGTAAAGTATGCATTATTTTATTTTTAGGTAACATATTTGATAAAAAGAATTATTAAAACTGATTGGGTATAATGTTTTATATATGTATTATATGAATCAATTTATTTAAGTTGCATATATAATCATCAAATTAAGTGAAATTATATAATATATTATAACTATTATTCCATTAAATACTGTTAGATATTTCTGAGTATTGCGATTTATTCCAATCCTCGTTGAGATCACAACATCTTTTTATTATCTTTTTTATTCCACGATACAAGTATGAATTATGTGGAAGGAACTAATAATTAAAAAAAAATGTGTACGAAAACATATTAATATTACAGTTTTCTATTTTTAATTTTTTAAAAATGTTGTTATATTATATAAATATATTACCATCACATTTAACCTTATAAATTATAAATAATAAAGCGGGTATTATTAATATTAGAATAGTTGATATTATAGCAGTTTTGGGTTTATTAATTCTGGGAGAAGGTAACTCTATATTCTCAACATTATCACATGGTAACATTTTGCATTTTGCATTAACACAATCATTAGTTAAGTTTCGTAGTCCATTATATTGGCGTTTTATATCTTTTAATGCTTTACAAAAAAAACTATCTTGTGAGGATTTACAACTATCATGATATTGTTCGTATATATCTGAACATTCATTAAGACAGTAGCAATTACTTTTGCAAGTGGGGTAAGAACATACTTTTATGTTATAAAATTAGTATACATTTTATATAAATCATCCAGTAAATTAAATTCATTTTCTAAAATAGTATTATGCTTATAATAGTTGCATATTGTATTACCAAAACTATGTGCTACATCCATCAATATCCTATAATATTCATTAGCACGTGCACTATTACCATTATCCTTAAGCTCCTTGTACAAACAATGATATAAGTATAAACACTTTGCTTCTCCATATCCTTCTGTAAAACTCTGATAATTTATATTATACGCGAATGACAAAGCTTTATTGCATTTATCTTCAGAGAGTACATTAGTAAAATCAAGACTCCCTCCAATACTTCCATCAGTAGAACAAGGATTTTTTAATAATTCCAAAATAGTTTTATTTTTTTTTAAAATTTCATTATATGATGGAAACTCTTTCACTAATGTGTACTAAAAAGAAATAATGAACACATAGCAAAAATAATATTTTCTTGAACAAATTTTCATGTACCTTATTGAAAATGGAAAATATTTATATTATAATTTTGTGTTTTATATATAATTAATTTGAACATGCCATAATTGGCTTCATCGCAGATAAGATTATATAGTAATATAGAAGATATAAAAATAGTAAAGAAATTTATGAAAATACGTAAATATATTTTTGTTAAAAAAAAATCATAGCATATGTTAATGTGCAATTCCTTTGTTTGAAATTATTGAATTAATGAAAATTTTTCGTTTATGTTGCAGATTATTAATAATTACACTTCTGCTAATATAGTAGGATATAAATGGGACATATAATACGTCTTATCAATTATGGCAACGACAAATGTAAAATTATAAATACATTATTTATAATTAATAAGTTATTCTGATTTAAAATGTGTATATTAGTGCAAAAATGCTAAATAAATATCATTT